TGGGTGAACCGGCTGGATGCCGCCGGTTATTTTCCTCTCCCTTCCAGCTACCCGCTTGACATCTACCCCCGGGTCTCTAAGATTGCCCAGAACAAAGCCCGTAGGAATCTCCCGGAGGGGTATGTCCTTGAATACGACCCTAACTGGCGCAATATCATCGAGCCTCACCGGGACGATAGGGTAGGATTCCATATCATCTCCCTGGAGAGTGGCACCGTCTTCCCCCTTCGCCCCCTCCTGGTCGAGCTGTGCCATTGCTTCAAGATCCTCCCCGGGCAACTTACGCCCAATGCCCACCGTTTTCTTAACGCTTTTGTAAATATCTGTTCCCATCTCAAAATCGACCCTTCTCTTCGCTTTTTCCTCTATTTGTTTGAAGTCCTTCCCGGTAAGTCGGGTTGCGACGGCTATGTCTATTTCAAGGGCCGTAACGGTCGCCAATTCATTTCTGACCTTCCACAAAGCAACCGGCTGTGGAAGGAAAAATTTGTCTTTATAAAATTCCCCACCGTTTCCCCTCTGGCCGGCATAAAGTGGAGTGACCACCTCTTGAAACCGCAATACACTGAGTCGGCTAACGCTCGAGACTTGGAAGAAAGTTTGGAGAAACTCTTACAAGGGGACCCGTTCACCGGGCAAATGTTCCATTACGGGGCCTGAATTTGGAGGATCTCACCGGGTGGCATGGGTACCCCCCGGGCTGATGAAGCAGCGGGGCACGGGGTACCCGCCCCGGGCAACACTGCGGAAGCTGGGGGTTCCAGTCACCCAGGTATCCCCCTTTCCTCTTCTTCCTTCTTTCTTTCTATATACCGGTCCATGCTTGATTAATATTTTTCGCTTGTTTTGCAGAGATGAACTTCAGAGCATTCAACATCCCCACCAAGAAGACCGGTGGCTCCTCCTCTGCTGCCCCAAGAACCGTACCGGTGCAACAAGAGCCGGTGGAGATCAACTCCGAGGAGGAAACTTCTCCGACCGGTCAGGCCGGAAGGACCACAGTAAACCCTCCCCTAGACAAAGGGAAGGGGAAGGTCCGAACCAAGCACGCCGCCACTACCCACCCCTCGGCAAAGAGGAGGAGGGGAGAAAGTTTCCCCGCCACAGAGTCGCTAGAGGAGCTCTGGGTCAAGATGGGGCGAAAGCTAAAAGAGGTAACATCCGCCCGGTACACTTTCCTCCGTTTTATTACTTATTTGTCGTACTAACCGGTATGTTTGGTTTTGCAGATGGGTGAGGTCGGGCCTGAAACCTTAGGGAAGCTTGCCGAGGACTCCCCTTCCCGGTCACTTCAGCTGGAGGAAAAGCTGAAGAGGCTTGAAGCCCACAACCGGGAGCTTCCAGACCTGACCGCCCGACAACTTGACGAGATGGCCAACCTCTCGGCGGTTGCCGGTAGGGCGAACGCAGAGGTCCTCCAGCTGAAGGAGGAGAACTCGCTGCTGATGGGGGAGGTCTCCCACCTGAAGGAGGAGGCGTGGGTGAAGGAGCAAGAGCTGCCCGGTCGGGCCAGACAGTAGATGGAGGAGAACCTGGTGGAGGCCGCCCGGGTGCTTACTTCCTCCGAGGAAAGGACAATGGAGGGGTTCAAGTTGCTGTACCGGGAGGAGCAAGGGAAAGAGATGATCACCCAGATCGGCTCCTACGGTTTCATGTCCGGCCAAAAACGAGATCGGGAGGCCACCCATGCGATCCTTGCCGACCGGGATCCGGACTTCAATGCTGAATCATACGGTCTGGCCCCCATCCCGGACGAAGAGCCTGCGCCTCCCTTTCCTCTTGAGTAATCTTCCCGGCTGCGACCGGTTGAATTATTTTGGCAAAACTTCAAACTCATTTCCCCGGGAATGCCCGGTGTAGTTGTAAAACACTTAACTATTTTGTTCTACTTTAATGCAATGCTTAATTTCCCTACCCGGTTAATCTTTCATATCTGCTT